GAGGACGAGTGTTTTGCTTCAGATTATTTCTGTTGGGGGAGGGAGGAGGAGATTTGGTACATTGCTGTTATGTTACCCAGCTGCCTGAACTATCCAGACATGCTCAGTAACATGGGCTGAAGAAGCCTCTGCCCTCCCTTGCCATCAGGATCTGCTCCCTGGTGTAAAAGGGGCTAAAGCAGTGGCTCTCAACCTTTCCACCCTACTGTCCCCCTTTCAGGAGTCTGACTTGTCTTGTTTTACAACAGGCTACATAAAAATCAGTAGCAAAATCAGTACAAACTCAAATTTCACACAGACAGTGACTTGTTTATACTTCCCTATATACTACACACTGAAATGTAAGTCCAATATTTATATTCCAATTGATTTATTTTATATGGTAAAAATGCAAAAGTCAGCAATTTTTCAATAATAGTGGCTTTGGCACTTTTGTATTTTTATGTCTGATTTTTGTAAGCAAGTCATTTTTAAGTGAGGTGTAACTTGGGAATACACAAGACAGATCTGACTCCTGAAAAGGGTACAGTAGTCTGAAACGGCTGAGAGCCACTGGCTTAGAGAGACCACATGGGGGGAGTGAGAGGGAGTGACATAGTAGTTTGCCCTGTAATAGGGCAGCATTAAAGGCCAGAGCAGTTCTAGGGGGCTGTGTATGCAAGGGTGTCCCTACAGCATGGAGCAAGGCAGTGAGTCACTCACTCTGGGGAGACCCTGTCTGGATGTTTGGACCTAGTGTGGAAGCCCAGAGCCCTGAGTTACAGGGACCCAGGTATTCCTGTCTCATGACTATTTCCCATGGGCTTTCTTCTATTAATTAGACCACAATAAATGGATTGTGCCCTGTTAACTTCTGGAGGGAGGACTGTGTCTCTGGAGAGGGGGTGTCATTGGGGAATACAGGACTGTAAGGAATTGTGAATGTCCCAGGAGGTCCCCAAAATTAAAAGGCCCCAGGGATGCTGACCAAACCCCAGGATGACAGCAGAGGGCACATGTCTCTGGGACTCTGTCCCTGGTTCATTCACTCTGGAGGTTTCACGGAGGAGAAAAGGGTTGTGCCTGGATCCCTTCTGCACCACGTTTTGGGGTAGGGGTCCCATTGGCAGGTGGCTGAGGTTCTACAGCTTCGGGTCGGTTTGGAGATTGGGATGGACAGCTGAGTGCCTTGTCCTCGCCAACCAGACTTTGGAGGGGTGGAACTAAGGACAGCAGCCCACCTTTGGGGACAGGAGGGAGACCCCAGTGTCCCTGGCCAAAACAGGAAAGGCCTGGGAGAGGGTGAGCTGTAAGTGGGGACAGGACAGACCGGGGTTGGGGGAGCTGCAGCCCTGTAGGCTGGGGAAATCTCTGGTTGGGTGTGTTCTTTGCAGGGCCCAGAGGGATTTGGCCCCGTTCTACCCAAAGGTTCTCTAGCATTCCCCCACTGTGATGGGGGAGTCGTGCAATGCCCAGGAATTGGTTGATTCTGCTTAGTTTTACTTTAACACATTCCCTCTATGACCCCAGGTCACAGAATGAACTCAACCCCAACATGTGGAGGGTCACTCTGGAGGGAAACCCTAAGTGTTAGGCACCTGCATGAGGGCTCAGACAGTCAGGCACCGACAGCGCTTGTGTAACCCACTGGCCAGTGTGTGTGACATGTCTCCCCACCCCCATGCTCCGAGGAAATGTGGCTGTCACAGCCCAGCTACTGAGCCACGCTGAAGACACTCATGCATCCAGCTAGGGAAGTCACAGGTGCTGGCCAGGCTGTGCTGTGACACTCTGCTGATGCTGTGACCTGTGCCAGCTCTGAGAGATGCCCCCTTTTGGATTCTCTCAATAACACCCTCTGGGGTTCTGGCCTAATGACCCCAATATCACAACCACTGATTTACACCAGTGAGGCACCTGTCCCACTGTTGTGTAATTCCCATGTGTCAAGTGGCTCCGTGAACTGAAGGAAGAACTGGGCTGGGCTTTGGTCTGGAGAGGGCTCTCTAGAGGGAATCTCTCCTCCTGCCTCGGGAGGGCACGCTCTGCCCCTGGTAGGGCGGCTGGTGTGGCAGTGGCTCTCCCTGTCCCCAGAGTAATATCCAGAGGGAGCTCTGCCCCAAGTGGAATGTCTGATGAGGGAGGTGTGCCTTGGGGTTTCTCTGCCCTCTGGGGAGGCTCTGGTGCCTGGTGTGAGTAGATGTGTTCCCAAAGGTTCTTGCTGCTTCACTCACACTGGTAGGGCCTGGACTGGCTGTGTGGGTGCAGGGTGAGCGCTGGGGACCCTCACAGGGCATCTCCCTGGGTGGCTGTGCAGTTGAGTGACATCTGCCATAAAGATACAACATCGGCTGGGCACAATGGGCGAGATAAGGCAGAACTGAAGGAACCTGCAGGGCCTTTAAAAAAAACCCAGCTACTTATGCCAATGATGGATGGTTTCTGTGGGACCGTTTAACCAATTCCTCACCAGTGTGGATGTTTCTCAGGACCTGCCTTTCCTCAGAGCCCTGGAGGTCCAGGACCCACAGCTCTTCCCCCAATTCTCAGCTGGGAAATTATGTTCAGTTTGGGAATTGGAAAACCTGTTGGGAGAAAACAGGTAAGATGAGGGTTTTACAGTTGTCCTGAGACAGAGCTGTTGCCAGATGGGCTGGGTAAGTCCTTGTATAAACGAAACAGATGGGAAAATTTTCCTGCAGACTCTTTGGGGAGCTCAGGTGGTTTCTGGTGTGACATTGGCAAACCAGGTGCCACTTTATGCCAAGATCCCTGTACCTCACTTAGATACTGAAAAACAACTAGCACCAGTCTGGTTCACCTGTGTGTTAGTACTGGTCAAATAGGTGGTAGAGTTATAAAAATGTGCTTAGTGTTTTGACTTTTTTGAATGCTTGTAAGTGCTGCGTACCTTAATCTCACTTATAATAACTGAATCCCCTATTGTAAGGTAATAGTTGAGCATTTGCATTGTGAGCCTCTGTAACTGTGTAAACCACCAGACAAGAGAGAAATATTAACTAGCGTGACATACTAGTCTCCAACAAGGGTTATATCCAGCCCGAAAGAGCAAGCCCATTGACACCAGACAAACTAGGAGACATGATGCGAGTGAATTCCTCCCAAAAGTTGAACTTGCAACTCAAAGCAGAGGAGGGAGGGAATAAGAAGCCTTAACAAGGAGGAACTGTATCTTCATGCTGCTTGGATTCTGAGGGGCAAGGATTACTGAGCATACACTAAAGATACCCCGTAAAGATACTCTGTTTCGCTGCAGCTCAGATGATGGCCCAGGGCTGCTTCAAACACCCGCACTGAGATGTCTAGGCTGACAATTTCAGACAGCAACAAACACATGGGGGTGTTTCGTCTGGTGGCTGCAATTGGTCACTCCCCTCTAGGTCCAGGGCAGGGGTTGTGATCAGAGCCCTGATGTTGGGGTTCAATGGCCCCAGGTACATCACAGAGCTGGGGTCTGGGACCAAGAATGGGACATCAGAGTATAGGGGAGGGGAAGACTCAGAGACTGAGATCAGAGGCACTTAGATCTGCAAGAGCAAAGACATGGAGGCGCTAGATATCCCTTTTAAAGCAGGATGGACAGACACATCAGTGAAAGGGGCTGGATAGGTGGAATGAGAGATTCCTGCTGAGGTGGAGTGAATAAGAATGGCCATACAGGGTCAGACCAATGGTCCATCATTCTACCCCATGGTCCTGACTTCTACAGTGGCCAAGGCTAGGAGGGAATAAACAGAACAGGGCAATTTTCGAGTGATCCAGCCCGTTGTCCAACCCTACAGCTTTTGGCAGTGAGATGCTTAGGGACACCCAGAGCATGGGGTTCCATCCCTGAATGTTTTGGCTTGAGCTTATCTAATTCTTTTTGAAGTTATACTTTTGTCCTTCAAAACATCCCCAGGCAATGAATTCCACAGGCTTGTGTGAAGAAACACTTCCTTTTGTTAGTTTTTACCTGCTGCCTATTCATTTCATTGGATACCTGGCTCTTGTGTTATATGAAGGGGTAAATAACACTTCCTTATTTACTTTCTTCACACCATTCATGATGTTACAGACCTCTATCATAACCCCCACTTAGTTGTCTCTTTTCCAACCTGAACAGTCCCAGTCTTTTTCACTGCTCCTCATATGAAGCTGTTCCATACCCCTAATCATGTCTGTTACCCTTGTCTGTAACCCTTGTCTCTACCTTTTCCATTTCTAACATATCTTTTTTGAGATGGGGAGACCAGAACTGCAAGCCATATTCAAGGAGTGTATGCTTACCATGGATTTATATAGTTACATTATGAGATTTTCTGTCTTGTTATCTATCCCTTTCCAAATGATTCCAAACATTCTGGTAGCCTTTTTTGACTGCCACTGCACACTGAGTGGATGTTTTCAGAGACCGATCCACAATGACTCCAAGATCTCTTTCTGGAGTGGTAACAGCTCATTTAGACCCCATCATTTTATATGTATAGTTGGGATTATGTTTTCCAATGCACGTTACTTTGAATTGATCAACATTGAATTCATGAGGGGGAACTTACCCAATCTGGGGCACTTTGCCCTGCACCCGTTCAGCTCAAGAACAGAGGAAATGTCTGAGATTCCCTGGGAGACGGTGGATTTGCAACAAACATTTTATTAGGAATTTATTTGGAAAAAACAGAAACCAATCAAAGTAAAAACTTCAATGAGAAATAAAGATGAATCTGAAATCTGATTTTCTAGAAACAAGAGACCCTCCCCTCGCCCACCATCCCAAAACAAGGAGAAAAATTCCTCACAGGGCAGTTATTTCAGGAAAAATCCCATGTGCGATGTCCGCTGAGCCCCTGCCTGAAAACAGGGATGAGGAAATCCTGCTGAAACCCTTCCCATAGGTTCAGTCACTCACTCCGCTGACACAGTGATCCAGGAAGGGGCAGACGAGGGTCAGCACCTCTGGCTTCCTGAGTCACTTCTCACAGAAGAATTAGTGACACCCCATGACTCCCTGTGAAGGGGAGCAACTATTATCCCCATCAGAGACTGGAGAAGAGGAGGCTGCACAGAGAGGAGGGGGAGTGACTGGCACAAGATCACACCAGGAGACACTAGCACGGAGCGTTATTGAACCCAGGGGTCCTGTCTGCCCATCTCTCCACTGCCACCCCACCCCTCCCACCTCTAACTGTGGGTATGCACAGAAGATGCTCTGGTATGGGCATAAGTCTAGCTCTAGCTGTGGGTATGCCAGAGAAGAGGCTCTGTTATTGGCATAATTCGCCCAGTCATCACCTCAAAGAGCGTGTGATCTGTGGAGGCAGCTGGAGTTGTCCTGAGGGCCATTAAAATGAGTGGAATCAGGGTGTCCCGATAGTATCCATTGGCACCTACCACCTTCCGGAGCATTCGTTTGATGGCGTGATTTGACACACTCCCCTCTCAGAACTGGGAACTGAACCTAGGAGTCCCAGGGTCCCAGCCTCCACTGCTTTAACTGACTAGCCCTTACTCCCATACAAGAGCTGAGAATAGAACCCAGGAGTCCTGAGTCCCAATTCCTCCTGCTGTCACTGTTACACCATACTGTCCTCCCAGAAACAGTGCAACTCCAAATGACAATAGCTGTTTGGGGAATCTCCACCATTCATTCCCTTCTCAGTCGCTCCTCACATCCCACAGCTGCAGAGATGTTCAATACACTGAGCATTGCTCTGAAATCCTGTTGCTTCAGCTTAGTAGCACCATCTGCCTTATAACCACAGCCCCATGGGGCCTCTCGCTGCTTCTCTGAGGAACGTCCTTCTGCCCCTGTCCTGAGAGGCCTGAGGAGCTGCAGACACAAATGGCAACAGGGCATTTTTACCTCTTCTCTACATTGGTAAGTGTGTGTGGAACCCACAGAAACATCTCGCTACTAATCTCATCATCTGCTTCACCCAGAAACAACACAGCTCCCCAGTATCCAGCGTTCCTGCCTCTTCTGGGCCCCATCAACCATTGCCCACTAAAACCCCAAACCTTGTGCCCACCTGCTGCTCCTGCCCAGACCCCCCTCAAATGAAGCACATTTACACTTTGCTTCAAGAGGACACGACCATAGGGAGAACTCTCAACACCTTCTACCTTGTGTGCAGTTTCTGGTGGGATATTAGCGAGGTCTTCACCTTGTAGCTTTTCCCACAGACAGAACATGTATATGGTTTATTTCCGGTGTGCATTCTCTGATGGACAATAAGGGCTGAGCTCTGGGTAAAGTTCTTTCCGCACTCCGAGCATTTATAAGGTCTCTGTCCTGTGTGAATTCTCTGATGCCTAATAAGTTGCGATCTCTGACAGAAACTTTTCCCACATTCGGAGCACTTAAAGGGTTTCTCTCCCGTGTGGATTCTCTGATGCGAAATTAGTACGGACCTCCGCTTGAAGCTTTTTCCGCACTCAGGGCAGTTATGGGGTTTCTCTCCCATGTGAATTTTCTGATGTGAAATAAGCTCTGAGTTGCGCCTGTAGCTTTTCCCGCACTTGGGGCAGTTATAGGGTCTTGCTGCCGTGTGGATTTTCTGATGTACGTTGAGGTTTGATCTCTGGCTGAAGCTCTTTCCACAGACAGAGCATTTATAAGGTCTCTCTCCTGTGTGAATTCGTCTGTGTGAAATAAGGTCCGAGCTCTGTTTGAAGCTTTTCCCACAGTCGGGGCATTTATAGGGTCTCTCTCCCGTGTGGATTCCCCGATGTGAAATCAGGTAAGAGAAATTGGAAAAACGTTTCCCACACTCCAGGCAGTTATAGGGTCTCTCTCCTGTGTGGATTCTCTGGTGTTTAAGGAGGTTTGAACTCTGGCTGAAGCGTTTCCCACAGTCGGGGCATTTATAGGGTCTCTCTGCCACATGGATTCTCTGATGTACACTAAGGTCTGATCTCTGCTTGAAGCTTTTCCCGCACTTAAGACAGCTATAGGGTGCCTCTCCTGTGTGGATTCTCTGATGGATAATAAGGGTACCTTTCTGACGGAAGGTTTTCCCGCAGTCGAGGCACATATAGGGTCTCTCTCCTGTGTGGATTCTCCGGTGTGAAATCAGGGATGAGAAATAAGCAAAATATTTCCCACACTCAAGACAGTTATGGGATTTCTCTCCCGTATGGATTGTGTGATGTGAAATAAGGACTGAGCTCTGCCTGAAGCTCTTCCCACAGTCTGCGCATTTATATGGTCTCTCCCCTGTGTGAATTCTCTGGTGTGAAACAAGGTCTGAACTGTGCTTGAAACTTTTCTCACAGTCAAGGCATTTATAGGGTCTCTCTCCTGTATGGATTCTCTGATGTACAATAAGGTGTGATATCTGACTGAAGCACTTCCCACAGCTGGGGCAGTTATAGGGTTTTTCACCAGTGTGGACTCTTTGATGTCTAACAAGGTAGGATCTCCGGTTGAAACTTCTCCCACACTCAGCACAGTCATATGGTTCCTCTTTACTGAAGACTCTTGGCAGGATCGTGGTTTTCTTAAGGTCCTTCAGACCTCCCACTTGGTAAGTGGATTTACCCAGTTTCATCCCTGGGTTATTTCCTTGCTGTCTGTCACAGGCTTCTCTCTGCTCAGGACTCTGGGAAACGTCCTCTTCCGTTTTTCCTGATAGATTTCCGTGTTGTTCCACTTGTTCAGGAACTTTCTGCTGAGGATTCTCCTCCTCGCTCTCACCCAACATCCCATCATCTGCTGGGACAGAGAGATAATCCAGACAGGAGTCATTCCCTGTGCCTGAGGGGAAAGGGAACCTCAAAAAGTGAATGGGTTGGCAGGAAATAAACCAAATATCTGCTGGGGAGATGGAAATATCAGGAGCCAAATCCCTCCCCCCAAAACCCTTCCCCAGAAAGGAGAGAGGAGGGGACCAGTTCTGCCTCCACATCCCAAGTGAACACCCAGTGGGGAGGGAGCTACTGCTAGGTGTCAGTCAGGATGGGTGGGAAGCCCTGAGTTGCATCTGACATGAGGATACGACACCAGCTAGTCACAATCCTGACCTGGGTGAGATGAAGCAGAAGTGGGGGAGCTCACGGGCCCTTTGTGGGAATCCCAGCTGATTATGCCAATGCCGGGTGGTTTCTGTGTCTATTTAATCACTTGCTCACCTGTGTGGATGTTTCTCAGGATGTCCCTTTCCTCAAAGCTGGGGAGATCTGGCACCCACGGCTCTTCCCCTCGTTCCAGCTGGAATATTATGTTGGGTTTGGCAATTGGAAATCCTGCTCCGGGGAAAGAAAGCAGGTGAGACCAGGATTTTACAATTATTCTGAGACACGGCGGTTTCCAGATGTGCTGGATGAGCGGGTGCCCTTGTATTCTTCACAGAGTTTAAGGGCATCTAGTCTGACCTAATGTGTATCACAGCCGATGTACCCGCTATATTAAGCCCAGAGACTTTAGTTGAAAACATTTCAGTCCCCAGGAGAGTAAACTGTGTGGCACAGGGAGAGACAGGAGAGCTCAACATGCTACTAATGTCTGAGGCCCCTGCACTGGCAGGGCATTGATTTGGCAAGATATGCTCAGATGATCCCAGGAGGTGAGCTAGGCCCAATGCTGCAGACTCAGGAAAGCTGACCCCCTCCCACACCAAGGTTCCAGCCAATCGGAGTTGCAGGAAAACTGATTTCTAACCCCAAATTAGGCGATCAGTCTGACCCTGAGCATGTGAGTAAGACACACCAGCCAGGAATCTAGAAAGAGGGTTTTCTGTACCACCTCAAAGTACTGGTCCACCCCATCTGGTGTCCTGTCTTCAACTGTGGCCAATCTCTTATGCTTCAGCGGAGGAAAACATACAAACAAAGACCCCATCCTAGAACACAACTAGCCATTTGTACATCAGGGTAAAATATTCTTTTCTGACCACCGTAAACGACTAACTAAACCGCAAAAAATTATTATAATCATTATTCAATGACGAAACAGAAAAAACACGTAATAAATTCAGTGACACCCAAACCTCCAAAAACCCAGGAAATACAGAATTAAAGTATTTCAAACTCAAACTTCTGAAAAACCAGGAAATTGTATTGGTATGGCAGTGCCACTATAGTGAAGGTTGCATCATGACTTCTGTTGAAAGGTTCCTCTTTCTAAGTCCTCTAAAATTGACATCCTTTGTCAGACGGGTGTAGGGTACAGTTAGTGACCCAAACTTGGGGTCATTTGAGCTAGAGGTGCCAGAGATATAAGACCTGAAAAAAACAGCCATTTATAAAGAGTTTCTAGTTTGTTTGTTTTTTTGCATAGAGCTAGAGATCTAACTATTGATGTGACGCTGGTCTCAATAGTTTTACCCAAAATAGTGCATGGCACCCCCTAAATCTTTGGGGGATCCAGACTGAGAATGGGATTTAAGAAAATGTACACTTTTTACAGTACGCACGCACCAATACAGAAAAACATTTAGTGGGTTTCCATTCCTGCCATTTTGTAGGCTTTAAAGCTCAACTCTTGTAAGTGCTCTAAAATCTGAATGGTTACTCAGATCATTTTGCATTTTGTGTGCCTCCTTGAGGTGTGGGGTCTTTTGAGGGGTTCTCGAGTTACAGGTCCCCTCAAAAATGTCCCTCTACTGAGAGGTACTAGTGACTCAGACCTTGCTGAGACTGATAGCTGTGAACTCACCCTTCAATTATGCTTCAGGATTTCAGCCAGCTACCAGCAGGGATCAGAAAAGGATCCCCCCAATATATTCTGGGAGGGTTTTTTTTTTTTGTATTTCCTTCCTATGAAGCATCAGGGATGATCATGGCTGGAAATGGGGCAGTGGGCGGGGTGGGCCAGGGCTCTTATGTTGCACCGAGGATTCTCTCGCTCAGGTACTTGGCTGGCTGTTTCTTGCTCACAACATTGGGGACGAACTGATCGCTGTACGTGAGGTTGGACAGGAATTTCCCCAGGTCACATTGGCAGTGACCTTGGGGGTTTGTTCACCTTGTTGTCTTCTGCAGCATGTGGGTGCGGGTCACTTGCCAGGATTCTGTGGGTGTATCTCACTTAATCATTTCCCTGCCATTGTTGGGGCCTCAGACTCTGTGCACCTTGGTTCCTCTTATTCGCTGCCTGCTGCACATAATGGTCTAGTCTCCTGAGATCTGTAATACTTCGGTCTAATTTTGGTTGTGCGGTTGTGTGCAGGTGTTGATTGCCTGTGATATACAGGAGGTCAGACTAGATAACCTGGTGGTCGCTTCTGGCCTTAAAACTCAGTGACTCTAATGACCTTCTCTTAAATCAGTCATTTCTAAGACAGAGGCCTGGTCTACACTTACAATTTAGGCTGATGTAGCTACAGCGCTCAGCTACACTGCCGTAGCTGTGCCATCCTAGCCTTTGGTGTAGACACAGCCAGATGGACAGAAGAATGATTCGTCAAGATAGTTACTAAAACAACAAGGAGTCCGGTGGCACCTTAACGACTAACAGATTTATTTGGGCATAAGCTTTCGTGGGTAAAAAGCCTCATTTCTACAGATGCAAGAAGTGAGTTTTTTAACCCACGA